GTTTTGCATGGATGCAAATCTCGAATGCAATGATGATCGATCTCAATGTGCTTTGTACAGGCACGAAACACCAGATTCCAAGCAATAGACATTGCAAAAGTGTTGTTACAAAATACTACATGAAAACCAGCTACAAGTGGCAGATTTGCGATGGATATGGTTCTGATGGTAAAACGAGCATCCAAAAATATTTTTCGACGAACAAAATACATCACAAAATCTTTGCACTAGATTTATGTTGGATTTGGGACGGAATAATCTCAAATGAAATGATTGTTTACTTTTTGTGGTCCGCCACATATTCCAACACAAATTGCAATGAATTTATGTTAGTTAATCCGCCATTTATAACGAATGGTTCCATCACAATCGTCGATACCAGAACGTCGTTTCAACATTTTCATCATATTTTTTTCCTCAAATCAGTCGCAAACCTATAACATAACAAATAAAAGAAATTGCTCCTGCAAACATTAATTGGGCTTTCCAACATTCACAATCCAAGCAATTATAAAAAACAGTTATGCAAAGTAAATATAATCAAAGAATACTATGCAAACTATACCAACTAATAAACAAACAATTATATCAATAAAATTCAACAAAAGTTATAATACTATTACACTTTCAACATAACTTATACATAGAATGACATCAAATATATCAAAAATCATCTCATGCAATAATCTAATTAGAATATGTATGCATGTTGTCCTACTTAGCTGATGGAGGCGTCAATTCAGATCTGCTAAAAGGATCGCAATAGGCAATGGAGGTTGGAAGGATTGTAGTCAGAAGGAGATAGGGGTCAGAAAGACCGTAGTCATAAGGCAGTCCAGTGGAAGTCCGACATTACTTGAAAATTTGAGCATTAGTTGGTAGTCTGGTGGTGGTTTTGCAGAACTTCGACATCAGGAAGTAGTCCGACATAACTCCAGTGTTAGGCAGTGGTTCGATAGAACTTTGGGTGTCTAGTGGTGGTACAATGGAACTCTAAGCTTTAGGTGGTAGTCCGCCAGAAATCAGGGCATCATGTGGTGGTCTGGCAGAACTCATTGCGCAAGGTGTTGTTCTGGCAGAACTCCGGCATTAGGTGGTGGTCTGGCGGAACTCCGGACATCAAGCGGTGGTTTTGCGAAACTCTGACGTCATGTTGTGGTTTGGCGGAACTCTGGGTGGTGGTCGAGGAGGCAAGGAGGCAAGAGCAATCTATGATCTCTCTTTTATTTCCTTCAAGAAGAAGGAAGGATATATTTATAGATTTTCTAGAGTGGCATGGGCCATAAATATGAGGAATATCAAAGGTAAATGGGGAGTGGTTTGAATGAACGGTCAATGTTGAAACCCTTGATTGTGAAATGTTTGATGGGCATTTTAATGTCTTAGAGATGTTGAAATTCGTCGATCTTGGGCTCATTTGATTTGTCTCGTTGACCCGCTTGATTTGACTATAAGCATGTCATGTTTGAAAACCGTTTGGTAATCCAAACTGTAGTTTGAACCTTCTAACAGTGCTTTGGGCCTTTGATTTGGATCCATTTGGGCTTGGATTGAGTCGAATTTATTATCGTTGGGTTCCTATTTCCGAGACGTTCAATTCAACTTTAAGTTTGTTGAAATCAGAGTTCAGATAGTGCTGGATTTAATTTTTGAAATTTTCAACTTGATTTTGCCACGAGGTTTGTGCCCGATCAAGATAAATTTTTTATGATGTATCATCACTAAATTTAATTTGCGATAAATATGGTCAAAATATTAATTAATTGTACACTTATAAAAAAGACATAAATAAGTGTAAAATCATTATTATCATATTTATGCATTTTATTAGTATAAAAGATTACAAGATTTGTCTATAAAATTTGTTGAAATGCATCCTCGGCCAAAAAATTTCATAAAGTTATAAATTAATTAGGAACTTTTTAATATAAATACAGCTATTGTAAAATAATTTTTATTTAATTTTATATTAATAATTTTAATTAATCTAATTATAGTTCATTTCTAACTACTAACATAATTCAACATCAGAAGTACCTCTTCTTTTTTCTCATTTTTGTGGAACATTTAGATCAATTAAGGCAAATTCACACACATAACACAAATGAAAGATTTTAGCTGAAAACTATTTGTTGTTAATCAAAACTCTCAACCAACTAATGGCCAAAGGCGTGTTGTGTGAATTCTGTTTTTAACTAAGAAAATTTCTTTGAATTATAACCCCACATTTGTAACATTTCCTTATTTATAGGCTAAGCGTTTCTTTGAATTACAACCGCAAATTTACTCTAACATTTCCCTATACTTGCCTCTGCTCTCAAAGTGTTGTATTCAAAGTTTGGTTTTCAAGAGCAATGCCAATATTCAAAAAACAAAAGGTGGCAGAGAAGGAGGAAGAGAAGTATCATTGTTGATTCTGCGGTAAGGGATTCAATAATTGGAGAGCGCTTGGAGGGATATGCGACTCCACGGGATGTTCAATAAACCCATCCTTCACCTGAACAAAAGTCCATCCACCACTGGACCTGAAGGAGACTCCTCTGACAGCAACTGCCTCCCTCACATTTGCCAAAATTGTTGCAAAGAATTCTGTTCGTTGAAATCGATCATTGTCCAAGCACTGTTCTAGCGGTCTCGTTGGTGCTGGTGGGGATGATGGTGGGAATGACAACTCAAATAGCCTTTTTTTGCCTTCACTCCCCCGATCCAAAACTCCTACTCAGCCTCTTGTGCTTACCGAAGAAGAGCGTGTCGCTAATTTTCTTATCATGCTCTCCACTGCCTGCGCCAACCCTGTTTTTCGGAATACCGATGCAGTGGAATGCTCTACTTCTGTTCTCCGCATCACAGATGCTGGGGAATGCTCTACTTCCGAAAGGAGGGAAGTTGATTATGTCGTCCTCCTGCCTCCTTTGCCTCAGCCAGAAGGCTCAAATCCCCACATCTCAACACAAACGCGTCAAAATGCGTGTAAAATTTTTGAATGCAAGACTTGCCAAAAAGTATTTACCTCACATCAAGAACTAGGCGGCCATCGGGCTAGCCATAAGAAAGTTGAGGGCTGTTTTGCAACTCCGGTTGAAATCAGGTCACCCAAGAGGATGAAGTTCATAGCAATTGAAGATGAAAGCAACAATAGAAATCATCAAAATAATCAAGCCCGGTCTTCCTCTAAAAATATGACTTTACCAATTGTTCTGTTTGTACGTACCTCATCACAATTGCCACTGCCAAAGAAAAAATCCAAAGTACATGAATGCTCAACTTGTAAATGACAGTTTCCATCAGGCCAGACACTTGGAGGGCACATGCACTGTCATTGGAGGGCATCAACTTCCCGTGGCACCACCGTTGAGCCATTGAGCATTGTTTCCACTGAGCTGCAAGCAGGAAATAGTAGCAGTAGATTAAACGATATACAACCCGACAAGCTGAGGATCGGATCTTTAATTTCTACTATAGACTTGAACATACCAACACCAAAAGATGATTTTCCCGAAGTCACGTTGTGTCTTGATGTACCCATCACGACAATTTATGTACAACCAGAACGAGAAAACGTAAGCGAGAATATGTTGAATGTAAATATAGAGGAGGTTGAGAGTAGGGAGGTGAGATTAAAAGATCTTAGTGATCTCCTTGACATAAATGAGAGAAAGGTTGGCTCTACATGGTTGCAGATTGGGTTGGAATCCATATATAGGCAAGAGACTAGAGCTGATCAACCTTAACTCATATGCCAATCCTTATTTTGTTGTTGTTTAATTTTGCGGTCATGTGATCGACATTAAGACTTCTGAATTTATTTTATTATCGAATGAATAAATAAGGATGTATATTTATTTATTCACATGGCTTAGCATTTTTGAACGTTTCGAAAGCATATATTATTTCTCAGTTTCAAACGTTTCTGTGTCTACATATTAGATTCTACTTTATGTTGTGTCTATTATTCTAATATATATAAAAAAAGGAACGAGTGAGACTATTTCTATATGATGGTTTAATAAGGGAGGAAATAAGATTATGTTTGGGATAGTTTGCTTGTTGCTTTGTCTTTCGGATTGTAATCATATTAATTTCTATTGGACAACTACTTTTTTGTTGCTTTAAACATCTTTTGTACTAGGAAGTTGCTTTCTACAATAATTTAAAAAAGTCACTTTCTCTTTAGTTGCTTTATAAAATAGAAAAAAAGCTATCTTAGGCTTTGTTTGCACAACTTATTTGTTGTTTTGTTCTTCATACCACAATCATAGTTTCATTTTTACCATTGCTTTTCACAGCTCTTATTAAATTTTTGCATTAGGAAGTTGCTTTCTACAACAAATTTTAAAAAAAATTCTTTTTACATAGCAAGTTTATAACTACCTTTATAAAAAATTGTGTTGTATTCATCCTTAAAGGATCCTAAGGGTGACATTGGCCTACTTCAAAAGAGAAAATTTTCTTATAAACAAGATTATAAAGATTATGAAAATTTTCTTTATAAATTATTTTGTAAGTATGTAAGCTTATGATATTTTTGTGCATGCCTCTAAATTTTGAGAAAAAATTTTCTGTTTAACTTCAAAGTTTAGTTATATCACTAATTTTAATTAGTGATAAATATGATAACAATATTAATTAATTATACACTCATAAAAAATCATAAATAACTGTAAAATCATTATTATCATATTTATGCTAAGATATCCTAAACCATAATATGAAAAAAGCCACCTTTATTCATTAAATGATAATTTATATTTGTGATTAATTATTTTTTTCCTATATATTGAATCAATTGGAATATTGCAAGATGGCATTATTTTAATTAATTTCTTAAGTACACCAAATTATAATTTCAGAATATTTACATGTGTGGTGTTTATACTAGTTAAAACTTGAAAAGGTTGGAAGGGTCGTTGGGGTGTAAATCTATTTCTGATACTGCGCATGTTTTCTCTCATAAACTTTGGTTTGCTTTTAGATCTTATAATAGTTTATGGGCTAATTTTATGAATGCTAAATACTGTAAGAATTCAAATCCTCTAGTGTGCCATTTTAAAACCTCTGATTCTCGGGTTTGGAAAAGTCTCTGTAAAATTAAATGGGAGGCTGAGAATTATATTCAATGGGGTATTGGCATTGGAGAAGTTGCTTTCTCGCAATACAATTGGTTGGGCACTGGTTCTATTGATAATTACCTTAACACTCATACCATTGTTAATACGAGAGTTAACGAATTTTTTTATAATGGGGAATGGAATATTCCTAAGTTGCAGGAGGTTGTTCCTTTTGATATTGTTGAAAAAATTATTCAAATCCCTTTACAGTTGCAGGTTAAGGATAAAATTTTGTTTATGTTATCTTCCTCTGGCAATTTTTTTCTTAAAAGAATCTGGGATGAGACTAGAATTAAAGGTGAGGTTGATAAAACCTTTAAATGTCTTTGGCATAAATCTATACCTTTGTCTTATTCCCTTCTTGCTTGGAGGTGCCTCAAAGGTTTTGTTCCTATTGATAATATTTTGTGGAATAAGGGCTTTATTGTTGTTTCCAAATGTCAATGTTGTCTCAATATTGAAAGCTTACACCATGTTTTTGTGAATGGGTCTATTGCTAGTAAAGTTTGGCCCTACTTCTTTAATGTGGCTGATATGGGTCTTTTGAATGCTAACTTAGATTTGGCTGGGATCCTTAAACTTTGGTTCACTGATAGTAAGGGACATATTAATAATATTCTTCATATTGTGATTATTTGGTATCTTTGGAATAGTAGAAATGAGGCTAAACACTTGGGTATTAAGATGAATGCTTATGATATTATATCCAAAGTGCGGTTCAAAATTTTACAGCTGAAAGCTGTCAATCTCATTTCTATTAAGAGCTTTACTAAATCTTGTTCTTTGGCTGATCACTTTGGTATTTATAAAGAGGATATTCATAGTAACAGGGAGTCTATTGTGAAGTGGTCTAAACCTAATGATCCTTACGTCAAGCTGAATACCGATGGGTCTGTCCATGCCAACAAAGCTGGTATAGGGGGTATTATCAGGGATTCTCAAGGTAATCCTCTTGCTATTTTTTTGGGTCCTATGTCTACTTGTTCTGTTTTAACCTCTGAGCTGAATGCTTTGTACCATGGTTTACAAATTTGTTTGAGGTTGGGTTTACAGAATGTTAATATCGAAGTTGATTGTACTCTTGTTGTTCATATTTTTTCTAAGAATGATTTGTGCTTCCCTCAGGATTTTTACACTATAAGAAAAATTAGAATGGCTCTCTCCTTACTTAACTTTACTATCTCCCATATTTATCGTGAAGGTAATGCGTGTGCGGATTGGCTTGCAAACTTCGGTGCTGAAAGTGAAAATTTTTTGGAATATTCGGTTTATGATATTCCAGTTCCTCTTAAAGGCATGATTATACTTGACAAAACTGGTTTACCTTATATTCGACATTAGTAGTTTGATGTTTTTTGGGTCTTTGCTGTCTTTGTCGGTGTTGGATGGTGGCTGTGCTGCTGGGTTTTTGGATTTTCCGTTAGCTGGTAGGTTTTTTGCTATTCTGGTTTCTGCTGGGGTCTGGAGTTTCAGGGCGGTGGAGTTTTTTATTTGCTGCTATTGGAACAATCCGGAGTGGGCTTTGTATCTCAACTGCTGGAACCTTCTGAATTTTCTGTGCTGGCTGTTTAGCAATTCCTATTTCTATAGTATTCCGGATGAGTGCCAGAAATTTAGCTGTTTTCTTTCTGATTTAAAGGCTGGTAATAATAGCTTATGGGATTACAATTGCTCTTATGGTTATTCTTTAAATGGGAGTGGCTGCACGGTTTACTTGTATTATTGGAGCATTGGGTATGAGCTTGTTCATCTGGATGGTAGCCAGAAGGCTTTTTACGTTAACAGGAAGTATTGGGCTTTTAATTCTCCTAATTTTAATATTACTCATAAACTTTTTTGGAGTGCTTATTGTAGAAACATTTTTAATGCTCTCTTAGGGAGCTTCAAGGATTGCAAGGTGCCTGCCGGGTTCCTGCTGGGTGGAAGCTTTTGGGTCTTTATGTTTCCTTTTTGGTGGCCCCTGTTTTTCTGGAATCTATACTTATATCGTGTTTTGAAATTCATGGACCGAAAGATTTTCGGGATAATCTGGTTTACCTGCTGTCATTTTCGAGATCAAAACCATTTTCAGGTATTAATGATTTATCCCTTTAATTTTGTTAGTATCTTGGCTGTTTCCATTTTGCAGGTTTTTCGTTGCCTGATCATATTTTTTGGAAGATGGCTTGTGCTGAAAGTGATATCCTTTAGCTTTCTTTTTGGTTTTTGGGCGCCTTCTTGGTGCCGCCTTAGAATGTTTCTAGGCAATTTTGTATTTGGTTAGATGGGGACTTTCTGCTCTTTAGTTTTTCTTTTCTTTTTATGCATTGTAGCTCTTCGAGCTTTAGTGAGTGGATCGTCCCCTTAAGGACTATGTAATTTTACCTTTAATCAACACGTAAGCCCTATCGCGGGTTTCCCTCCTAAAAAAAAAAAAAGAAACTTTGAAAGAGGTTGGTTAAAAATTCGCATATTTTTTGTTTTATTTTATAGAAATATTTTGTTTGCTTTTGGAAAGTAAAAGATTATAGCACACACAACAACTTTAAAAAAATTATTTTACATTAAATTTTGTAAGAGATTATTATTTATGTAAAATTTTATATAAATAATTAATTAAATTAAAATTATATATATTAGAATATATTAACAAAATGACAAATTATATATATATTATATATATATTATATATATATTATTATATATTATATATATATATATATATATATATATTACAAAGTTTTATATATATATCTCCAGATATTGAACTGTACAAATTACAAAGTTTAAGATAAAAATGTTAAAATTAAGATTTCTACTGGAAGAGAAAAACTTCATTTATATTTTTAATTTATTATCTATTAATTTATATCTCTTAACTTAAACATTAAAAAAAATTATTAAGATATATATTTAAAACATTTTAATTTGCCATATTGTATATACTCTAAAATATTATATATTGTTGCGTCCTGGAGTATTCGCGGCGGTAGAGAAATATATAGTTTAACGTCTTAACATTGTACGAAGATCCAGCACACAATCAGATAAGTGAGAGGGTGTAGCGTTCATAAGAGACACCAGAGTTTTTACGTCGAAACCCCTAAAAAGAGGGAAAAACCATGGGGCCTCGCCCAGTTTGAATGAATCCACTAGTATTTGCGGTCGATTACAAATGACGCCCTTCCTTAGGAGAAGGCCTTGGCATTGATGATACAAATGTACATCATATAGAGCGCATTACATGGTGGGAGTTACAATGTAGACATGTTTGTTTGGTTGGCATGATCATAGTCGATAGGATGGAGGTCGGAAAGACCGTTGTCATGTGATGGAGGTTGGAAGGACTATAGTAGGCGACGAAGATTAGAAGGATCGTAGTCAGGAGGAGACCGGGGTCAGAAAGACCATTGTCTATTGATGGAGGTTGGAAGGACCATAGTAGGCGACGGAGGTCAGAAGGACCGTAGTTGACAAGAGACCGGGGTCAGAAAGACCCTTGTCTGTTGATGGAGGTCAGAAGGACCATAGTAGATGATGGAGGTCCGAAGGACAGTAGTCGGCAAGAGACCAAGGGTCTGAAAGACCGTAGTTGGAGTGCGGTACTTCAGTAGAAGTCTGGGCGTCAGGTGATGGCCTGGTGGAGCTCGAGGCCTCAAGTGGAATGCTCTACTTTTGAAATTAACATTATAATAAGAGCCTTATGTAGCTTCTTTTCAACACACTCCCATCATAATTATCCATAATTTTGTTAGAAGGTATATCATGAATACGTGAGAAGGGGAAAGGAACTTATTGATCTAGAAAATTAAAAGTTATACCACGATGATTAGAGGCTTGATGATTACTTGTTTATTCAGAGTATCTTAGATATAATGAGGTTATGGTTCATTTGATTGTGTGCAAATGTACTAAAGTCAGGACTTAACTGTGATCCGCCAAAATATTTCACTCCAAGAAACATCATGAATTCAAACATCACCGGATATGCAACATTTGTATAAGTATACATAAGACAATACTCCTATAATAACTCAAAATTATATACTAAAATAAAATCCTGCATGTGCTCCGATCAACGTATTAAAGTTACAAACACAAATATCTGAAAATGCTGCATAGGACTAAATGCTCACTAATATAACATTCTAGTTTCAAACTAAATATAACTCGCATGTGCTCCAATCATCACATCTGATTCATAAATCCAATGGTCCGAGAATTGTGCATGGGTCAAATATTTAAGTTTCATCCTCCTCCATGAAAGACTTGAGCCGACCTGACTTGAATCATAAAATGCATTCCAAATTCCTATAAAAATACAAGTGACTTTAAGGTCACCCTGATGATGTCTATGTTGAATATAAATATCAACTAGAGGGGTTAAATCTCAAAACCAATAAAAGATTGACTTTTTAAAATAAAATATATCACTTAAAACTAAAATATATCACATTCCAAATTCCTTTTACCAAAGCCTTATAGCAGATGCCTAGTTATATTGAATTTATAAAGGACAACTTGATTAAGAAGTGAAAGATAGGTGATTATGAGATTGTTGCTCTTACTTAAAAATGCAGTGCAAACTAACAAAATAAACTTTCTAAAAAAGCTAAAATAACCTAGTAGATTTACCATTCTTTGTGTTATAGGAGAGAAGTTCTATGGAAAGGCATTGTGTGATTTAGGAGCAAGCATTAATCTCATGTCTTTATCTATCTTAAAGATACTAGAGTTAGGTGAAATATAACCCATGAAAGTCACCCTACAGTTAGCTGATAGATCATTCACTTACTTGAGAGGGGAGATAGAGAATATCTTAGTTAAGGTAGACAAGTTTATCTTCCTAGTAGATTTCATTGTGTTAGACATGGAGGAAGATAAGGAAATGCATATTATTTTAGATATACTAATTTTAGCAACAGGTAGTTCTATTATTGATATCTAATAAGGGGAATTAACCATGAGAGTTTAGGATGAAGAAGTAAATTTCAATGCATTAAAGTCAATGAAATTATCAAATGATGATAGCAAAAACCATTATTATAGAATATGTTGAGATTGTTGCAACTTAGTTCTTGATTATTGATATTCTTGCAACATGTATGTTTTTTATAATTTCAAATATTATTGCTTTGATTATTATTTCTCCTAATATATTTTGGATGAATTATTTTATTATTTGTGTATAATAACATTTCAGGAAAACCATACTCCAGATTTTTCAAATCTTCAAATCAGATCAGTTTATGATTTATTGTAAATGAAGTATGTAATTTTTTTTCATTTTATTGAGTCTGAGAGAGTGTGATTGTAATTGAGTAACTGTGTACACACACACACTGGGGGAGAGTCTTAAATCTAAAATTTTTAAACTGATCATAATGTACGATTTGGTTTTGTATGGGATGATCTAATCAATTATTTTCCCTTTCGAGCAGTCAAACTAATATAAATGAAATTTTTTTCTAAGTGTTAATCGTACTGTATGATCTCCATTCGTACATACCTTCCAAAGTACAAAATGGACTGGTCCCTTTTCATTCAAAAAGATTTTTTCTAAGTATGCATCTTACTGTACGATCATAATTCTTACATGCCTTCTAGAGTACGAAATTGTGAGGTCCCTTTTCGTCCCAACTTTTCATCTTGACGAACTTAAAATTTTTTTGAATAGTTCATACCGTACAATATCATCATCATATATACGCCATCCAGTGTACAAAATGGATGGGTCCCTTTTCATCTCGATGAACTTGAAAATTTTTGTAACTAATCATACCGTATGATGTCATCATCATACGTATGCCATACATGGTACAAAATTATGGGGTGCCTCTTCATCCCGATGAAAATGAAAAGTTTTCTAACTTTTCATCCTATATGAACTTAATTCGTCCCGGATGATGATCTTGTACTGGATGATCTGATCAATCATTTTCTCTTTTGAGCAGTCAAACAAATAGAAATGATTTTTTTTCTAAGTATTAATTATACTTTATGATCTCCATTCATACATGCCTTCTATAGTCCCTTTTTGTTCAAAAAGTTTTTTTTCTAAGTATAGATCGTATTGTAAGATCACAATTCGTACATGCATTCTAGAGTGGGAAATTGTGAGGTCCCGACTTTTTATCTTGACAAACTTGAAAAATTTCTGAACAGTTCGTGCCATACGATGTCATCATCATACGTATGCCGTCCAGGGTACGGAATGGATGGGTCCCTTTTCGTCCCAACAAACTTGAAAATTTTCATAACTAATTGTATCGTATGATGTCATCATTGTACATATGCCATATTGGATACGAAATTATGGGGTGCCTCTTTATCCCGACGAAGATGAAAATTTTTCTAACTAA